TACATGTTGAGCCAAGGTGGAGATTGTTGGAAATTGGCTCAAATGTAGAAGAATTTTGGAGTTGCCCATGTGAGTCAAAGTTAGTTGCCCATGTGAGTAAATGTTGGCTTACTATGAGGTCAAAAAGGGTGGATTGTTTGGTAGCCATCCATTGGTAAGTTTGGTAGCCAACAAATGAATAGTTGAAGCTTGCATTCACACTCTTGCATTTTTGGCTATAAATTGGAAGCAAATGGTTCCATTTGAAGCATCCCACCAAGTGTTGAGTAGAAGAGAAAAATAGCAAGAAAGGCATCTTGCCAAAGAGAGAAACATTTCTCTCTAATTGTTCTTTGCTTTGTATCATTGTTTTCTCTTCAATTGTTGTGAGAGTGAGACTTGGGTGTATTTGGGGCTTTGGGTTTTCTTGAGTGATAAACACTTTGTATACTCTCTTTGATTATAGTGAATTACTCCGTCGTCTCCAAACTGGATGTAGGCATTGCCGAACCAGTATAAATCTTGGTGTTCTTGTTGGTGTTGTTTTGTGTTCCATTTATCTCCTGCCAGTTGTTGTTTATTTTTTCACTCATATTTGGTTGACGCTTCCGCACAACAGCGTTGTTTTCCCTTCTTTTTCACTAAAATAGCTAGGGATGAGAGAGTAGAGTCTCCTGGAGATGCTCTCAAATCAAATGGTAATTAATGGTCAAATTGCTAATCATTTTCTCATCAAGAAGACCAAAGACTGTACTTTTGAAATGGGAAAAAAGAAGCCAAAAACTCATTTTAAGTACAAAAAACTGCCTTGCAGATATCCAAATGCCCCTTTTTTCTTTTGTTATGTCATCATTTAAGAGAGGATTATGCACAGGAGACATAATTTGATTGCAAGAATAAGCATAATGGTGTATGGATTAACTGTAGAGTTTACAAGATAATACCAGACACCAACCACAATTGGAAGTCCAGAACCATATATTTAAACAGTATAGTTGCGCGGCTATACTGTTAAAATATTCGAATATATTTAAAGAGTATAGCTATAGTCGCTTGGCTATATTATTAAAATATTCGAATATATTAAATATACAATTTTGTCATATAATTTTGGCTTTTTATCGCAAATGGTCCATGAGGTTAGCAAAATTATCACCTTTCGTCTTTCATGTTGTAACTGCATAAAGAAAATTGGCCTAGGCGGTCCTGATTGTACATAATGGTGCAGTCCTCAACAATATAACATATGCATTCATGGTAAGAAAACCTGCTAAACGAGATTATTTAGGGTAATACAAGCATCTGTCATGTAATTCTCAGTGTTTTACAAGTTACAACTAATAATTTTGGAGGTAGGAAGAGACAATCCATTACATGTATAAGTTTTGTGAAGATTTGTGGCTCAACATCTTCAAGATTGAAGTGATATAGTTACATGTGCCTTCAGAGTTCTTGAAAATTAGAAAACCAGCCACCAAAATTTGTAAACCATTCTATAAAATTAAAGAGATACGCAAATGTAAACAATGGCAGACTTAATGGCAAAAAACTATAAAGATGTATCACAGGAGTGGCCTCAGTGTCCTCCTAAGAACATTGAAGAATATTTTCCTTTTCCAACAGCGGTTACAGACCAATTAAGAAAGGACTTTTGATACATACCTCATGGTGAGACCTTTTAAATTCTGCAAAGACTCTAGAACTGATGAAAATCTCGAGAGAAATAGGATCTGAAGTTAGGCCCAAGCATCTTCAGCAGAGGGTCATCAGAAAGGTTGTTTATGAACTGCAAAACATCAGATTTGTTGAGTTAATGTGAGATTATATTTTGCAAAAAGCAAAATAGGTCAATTGTCGAAAAGACTTGATGCTATCAGTGCTGACGGGACTTAAATTCCAGTGACAGTTCACAGATGGTCAGAATATTATATTGACTATATATCAACCTATCTGAAGTTCTGAACTACTACTACGAGTGTGGGATATCCAATGAGTCTCTCTGTGACATACAAATGCATTAACTTGAGGGAGCACTAAGCCTCTCATCAGTAGCCAATGAGTCTCTTTGTGACATACAAATGCAACCAAATATTATATACTTGCATCAAAATTTAGCATATACTTGAAAGCTGAAGACTTGAAAGCTGAAGACTTGAAGCTGAAACGGGAAACAAACCTTAAGAGTGAACAAAACAGACTGCAAATGATGGATCTTCTGCAAATGATGTACCTGGGTTTAACAGAAGTATGGAATTCAAGATCAAATGTCAAAATCTATAACAGAAATGCAATATCCGAAGAATGAAAAGCAGTCCAACCAAGAAGAACCATCAATGGATGAATATTGAATGAATAAAGATTTATCAAGTTTCATGCAAGAAGTACCAAACCAATCAATCTATTGTTCAACCGAACCAGAAAGAAATAGTCAGAATTTGAGATTGGGGCCTAAAAACCGAACCTTGTTATAGGCAAGACCATAGAAACTCCATGAGAAGATAATAAGGCGGGAAACAGGGAGAGGAATGGAATTAGATGAATTAAGAGTCTCATGATCTCTTCTTCTATGGACCTGACTTGTGCTTCACTGCTTCGGCTTCACAATCTCAAGCTCAAATTTTCAGCTAAACTTTTTCAATTTCGGGTTTCAGACTTTCAGTCAATCGCAGTGTTCCAAAAATCGGCCTAGGCGGGCGGCTAGGCGGCTAGGCGGGCGCTAGGCGGCTGGGCGGGCCTCCTAGGCGGTTTGGGTCTTTTCTCGGTGCTGAAACGGAAGAAAACAAATCGAAGCTTGAGTTGATAGAGAAGCGACATGGCTGTGACTGCATCTGCGAGCTCCGTCCTCTGCGAGTGCAAGCTTCGTGTTCGTCTTGAAAATATTTCAAGAGTATAGCCGTTCGGCTAGACTCTTAAAATATTCGAATATATTAATAGTTAAAGAGTATAGCCAAACGGCGATACTGTTAAATTATTCGAATGTATTTAGAAAGTACAGCCGATCGGCTATACTGTTTAAATATACAATTTTGTCATATCGTTTTAGGGTTTAGGGCTAAAATACCACTTTAGCCCATTGGGCTAGAGTTATTTCTTCAGTTATTTTATTTATACAAGCAATATTGGGAAATGAGAATTTAAATTCTTTCTGATACTTTCCATTCTAAAAACAAATACTAAAATGTACTGGTGGAAGTTGTTGCGTTTTTATTTAACTTTGTGGTATATCCAACAAACCAGTGTATTGTTTTATCAAGAAACTGTTAAATTTAAAAACAAAATATATTATGATTCTTTTATTCATACTAGAAACCCAGAAATAGGAAATTAAACAAGGAGCTGCCGACCCTTTCTTGTCCCCGAGTTGAAGATAATATAAACCTTCATAAAACACAAGGAACCAAAACAAGTTGGAGCACACAGAAATCTTTTGCAAGTCTCACTGAGACGCCAGCAATTTTTCCCTGCCACGCTTAAAGAGGACCAGCATTTTATCACGATCAGGAAGGTTTTCTTTGATTGCAGGCACTTCTTTGAAGTTCTGAGTCCAAGCATGCAAGTAAGGGAATGCATGGGCTTCAAATAGCTTCCCCCCAGCCACGTCTTCAATGACTTCAGTCCAATGAGCAATGCATCCCAAGGCTATGTCCAAAATTCCAATGTTGTCTCCTCCAAAAAATTTCTTCTTTCCAAGAGTACCAGCATGGTCGTCGATGGTTTGCAGAATCTCCAAGCTCTCTTTCTTGAACTTCACCTGCTCGTCGCCAGTGGTTTGGGAGACCATCCAAATTGCGGGACCCTACCAGAATTAATTGAGGCAGTTATTATATATATTTGATCAAAAATTTAATATCGCTTATTATTGTCAGTCTGAAACATCGATTATGTGCAAGGGCGGAGCCACACTTTAACCCTCAAACTCCAACATTTCATATTAAATTTATAGATTTATAGAAAATTTGGCATAAGTTCAATTATGAGGAGAGATTTTGGGTGCAATCCAAGCAGAAATTGTTGTTGATCCAAGTCCTTTGACTTTTGCGCCACATAAGATTACATGCCTTTTTCAATTTATTGATATTTACTTTTTTTTATTTTTTATTTTTTGTTCCAGTTATGCACCTAAAACATAAATAAGGTAAATTATGAATTCGTAAAACTGGTAAGTTATTGATTTGTAGGATATTAATTATCATATTTTATTTGAATTTAATTGCAAATCTATTTATTGAATTCTAAAATTTTCCCAAGGTATACCGACATCAAAATTTGTAATAAGATTTCATAAAAACTTCATACCTTAACAATAGGTAAGGTACCTATGCATACACCTCGTATGCAGTATGCAGGTAATTAAACCCATAAATTACCTCTTGTCCAGGTAATTAAATCTATAAATTACCTCTAGCCCAGCTAATTGAACTCATATAATATCTTGGTATGGATCTTTAAACTCAACTGAGATAAAAATCCATACAAAATTTCTTTGGGAAAAAAAAAAAACACTATTACATGGAAGACATGTACGTATGTATGTAAATATAAAGCTCCAGAAAAAATTGCTTAAGAAAACTCAAGAAAAAAACACTTACATGTAAGGCAGGTACATATATACCTATATGTATTAATATTATTTACTTGTATGTCAGGTACATAATTTAATGTGGGTGCTTGTCTGATCGATTGGTATAATATGTGAGTCTTTATTTTTTATTGATTAAATTGTATTTTATCTATATATTAGGAATATTATCAAGGAAAAAAATTCAAAATTCAAATTCTGGAATTCAATTACAAGGAAATAATGCATTAAATTTAGATTTTCAATGTGTTTTCCTTATTTACCTTAAAGGGTAAAATTGACACAACAAAAAAGTAATAAATGTCAAAGGACATATATCTAAAACAAAAAACGCGAGGACTAGACCCAATAACAGCTAATCGTTTTGGACCTAGATTTAAGAAGCCCTTAAATTTACAATAAACTTATGCAATTGCTGGGGAAATATGGCAAAAATGTATATTATCTCCTTGAAAGCTAATTCCGCCACTGATTAATTATGTGGAATCATGTCTAGAACGTGCAATAATTATCCACAATTTGACGAATATAACATGTAAAAGAAGTTACCTATAATCCACGAGCTTATATATCAACCAATTCCTTCACTTAGCCAAAGACAAAGAGATACAATTTTTGGTTTAATTGAAGGGTCAAAAGGTGAATCGATATAGATATTCAATGTGAATATATATATGTACCTTTTCTTCGAAATATTTAACCCAAAACCGAGCCATGGCTCTCTCATACGGGTCAGTAGGAAGGGGTACTTATGTGGCCATGTTTCTTCTATGTATTCGATGATGATCATGGACTCACAGATTGGCCTCCCGCCATGAACGAGCACCGGGATTTTCTTGTGAACTGGGTTGTATTTGAGGAGCTCAGGACTTTTTTTGTTGGGAAGATCTTCTTCTATGTAATCATGTGGGATGCCTTTTAACTTCAAAGCCCATATCACCCTGCAACTAAATGGACTGTTCCATACTCCATGTAGCTTCACCTCAGCCATGTTTGAGAGAGAAAACAATGTGTGTGATCTAACTTCTTTGACTCACCAAAGCATTTTACGTATGGATATGTTTTAGCAAAAGAAAAATATAAAGAGCATAAAATAAAATAAAATAAAAAAAGACAAGTAGGTTCAATGGCTTTGCCAGTACGCTTTACAAATTGGATTAAACATACTATAAAGGATTTGTTTGACTAAAAAAAAAAAAACTGTTGACACCATAACTGACCAAGCAACTAGAAGAAACTAGAAGCAAAGCAAAAGGAGTCCCACATCGGAAAACTACAAGAAGTGAAGGCTCCCTCTCACCTATAAAAGCATACCACTCTCCACTTAAGGGGGGATCCGAAACTGAGCTGGGCTTCCTCTTCAGGACTCTCCTGTTAGTCTGGCCTTCGAGTCCTGGGTCTCCAGACCCGGGGACTTGACCCCTGGGCTCCAGACTCCAAACTTTGTACCTTAGACCCTAGGCCTTCTTCCATTTATCTTTGGGTCTAATCCCCTTGTACAAATGTAAACAATATCATAATGAGAACATCTTCTCTGTGGACGTAGCCCATTCATTAAGGGTGAACCACATATATCTTGTCTTTTGTATATTCATAAACTGGCTAAGTCCTCACATACACGCAGAAGGTCCAAACCTTCACCCATCATCCATCACACCTCATCACTAAGTTGAACTCAATAAAGGCCCAACCATTTTGAGCATCAACA